AGTGGAAGGATGTCCTCCCGCTGTGATGGTAGATGGCGCAACAGTGTGGCATGCAGTATTTTCACATTTCTTTATGGCATCCCCCTGCGGTTGGCTTGAAATACCATGCTATTTCATTTATTGCAGTTACTTACTGCGTGATTGCATTTGAAAGCATTGAAGGCTGTCTTAAAACTTCTCAAAAGTCTCAAAATACCCCACAATACCACAGAACTGATGGAAAGCAGAGGAAGAGGTAATGGGGTAACAAGAGGGCAATGCTGGCGCCAAACCAGGAAGTCACAATACCAGAAATTTAGTAGTCGATACTAAATATCAGAGAAATTTCTTTGATTCTTAACCCACCTGTAGAAAATAGGGGAGGCCCTCGATCAAGTTTTTTTTACCCCGGTTCTCCGTTTTATTTTGAGTTTCTGGCTGAATGTCTTCCCCTTTTAAGTATCCTGCAGTGTTTTGGCTGCTTCTGAGCAGCTTCTTGCTTGATTAATTGCATGAACTGTATTTCTGCAGAATGTTTTTTCCCCTATTAATTGCGCAGATTACATTAATGAATTACTCTAATTAGCTTTTATGTGTTCAAGGGCCTTCTGTTACACTTGCAGTGGCGTTGGAGTGTGGGCTCTCCATCCCCGCTGTCTCGCTTCCGGAGTTGGAGGCCTCAGCCCGCCTGCAGCGATGTTTTCACTGCAGGCTGGAGCTTGTACACACACGCAGTAAGCGCAGAGGAGACAGATAGCAAAGCTGCGTGGTGCACGAAAGAGATTCAAGTAAAATTTTCATGTAGCAGCTGCACTTCTTCTTTCTGGCATTTAAACGGCAGACTAGTAATTTAATAGGCTCGTATGCTTCCTTATTTACAGTGGCCCAGAGGATGTCAGGACGAATACCCAAAATGCCACAACGGAAATACAAAAACCACAAACAGAATGAACTACACTGGAAGTCAAAAACACTGGAAGTTCAACTACAACAGAAGCAAACTCAACGGAAATTGAACGGTAACGATGTTGACAATGAGGCAGATTGTTGCTGGCGGACTATTTCATAGAAGGAAGACAGCGCAAAGCCAGAAGTCGTTCGGGTTCCCGACGCCCGCGGCGCAAACACCCGTTCGGGTCCATTTCTATGAAATAGTACGCCAGCAACAATCCGCCTCAATTGTCAACAATCCGTTAACCGTTCATTTCCGTTGTAGTTTGACTCCTGTTGTAGTTTAATTTTCCTTGTGTTGTGGCTTGTGTATTCGGCCTGACACCTCTGGGCCACCCTACTTATTGGGTCCGGAAGAATTGCATGAATAGTAATAATGGTCGACTAGTCTAAATGACCATTTTCATTTAATCGATGGCAAAATTAGTCGCCAGGAACATCCCTCGTTGTTACGGCAACTGTTAAGTGTAGCTAAAAGGTCTCAGGTTAGGTCAGTTTCTATAATAATAATTAGGGCTGCCGCGACTAAAGATTTTTCTTAATGACTTTATTGCTTAATTTAACGACTAATAGTCGACTTGTCATAGCATGTTTATGATATTAATTTAATTATTTAAATATATAGATTTTAACATCCGCCTGTTGAATGATAATTAAAGAAGTGTGTCAGAGCAACCAGCAACATCGAGTTAAAATATTTCAACGCAGTGTAACGTCACGCAAGTCTCGCTGTTCAAAGCACAGAATAAATAAATTCCAACTTCACAAAAACGTGCTATTATGGATGATGTATATAGCATTACATGGAGTCATAATAGTCGCTGTAAATCAGGTGGCCTATGTTGGTCCGCTCCGCTTTGGTTCTGTCGCTCAATCCAGCACCGCTCGTTAGCAGCAATCCCCACTGGTCTGCTGTTACGCAAGTAACTCCCCCATCCCCCTGCAGCTAGTACAGTAAGCATATGCAGCAGTGCACCCGTAAGTGACTCTGTGTTACAAGAGAAAAGGTCCATGTTGCAACAATCCTTTGATACTTTTGTCCCGGTGACAAGGCGCATCTCCTGAACCGAGTTTGACGTTGTTCTGCGAATATCCAACTAATGAAAAGTGGACTGAAGAAGACTCTTCTCAGCGACTAATGATTAAGTCGACTATTAGGGTGCAGCCCTATACTAATAGTAACAGCAATAAAGATAATAATAATATAGAAGGTGTTTATCCCATAATGCAGAGATGCAAAATAATATGATATAAATTAGCTTTCACCAAGTGTTGCAGGTTAAATACAGAATAAAAAAATGTGTTATGATCAAAAGAAATCCAAAACCTCACAAAACAAACCAGCAGGGAGAAAAGTAGCAGTGTTGTTTAACCAAAGAAACCAGGTGCAGTCATGAGCCTTGTTCCTGTTAAAGGGGAGTCTTTCTGCTGTAACTGTGTACAGCAGCAGCAGCAGCAGCCATTTTGTGCTGTAGCATGCACTGCAAGCGATCTATCACAGGGAAAGGAGTGGGGGAGGGGAAAGCGTTGAGTAGGCTAGCTTGTTGACTAATCCAAATCATAGAGCTGGGGAAATGTTGTAAATAGCTGTTTGGTATGGCTTTTTTTCTACAGAAAACAGTCTGTTTTTCTCATAGCTACTTTCTACTCATGCCCAAATTTGAGAGGAAAAAGACAGCTTATAGCACTGGATTTATCCTCCCATAAAACATCTTGATTTAACAAAGTTATGAGACATGTGCCATTGTTAACACATAGATGAGTTGGAGACAGAAAATTGTATCAAATATAGGAGAATGAGCTGCTCTTTAGGGACCATGTCAGGAATCTGTAGTAGTTTAAGAGGACTAGAAATCACTAAAACATGTTCCTGTTCAACATAGGCTAATCTAGTTTTGAAATTCCAACTAAAGAGCTCGAATCGTACAGAGAGCTTTGTGTTTCACCTCTCTAGCTCCCTCCCTTGTTGTTGAAAATGCCCTTGTGCTGTAATGGTTTAGTCCATGCCGGCTACTCCAGACTGAAGCAGACTGCTGGTGTGGGGGAGGGGTGTTGGCGCTCTGTCTGAGGCTGAGGACTTCAGTTCTGATTGTGTGGTGCTAGCTATAGCTCATTCGAACTGTAGTTACTCCAGAGATGCTCTTTAGGTTATCAGTGTCACCAGTAAAAGGAGAGCAGCAGCATGCAGATATTTCAGTTCTGCATGTAACCAAAACAGGGTTATTATTACTTTGTCTTCAGGGAACCAAGATTATCTTTGTGTTGCACCTGGTGTGTTTTTATTTATTCTGGGTGTGCCACTTAACGTTCATTCGCTTCTTTTGTAGCCATGACATGATCTTCCCTGAGTAGCGCACAGCTAAAGAGTACTCACCATGTGCTTTCACATTGATTCACATGGAAACTCCTGGTTTTCTTCCCACCCCCTCCCTGTTTTTCTTCCCTCTTTCCTTCTCTTCCTGCTCTTGCTGGTCTCCACTCATTTAAATGACAAGAAAAAAAACGAATCACGCGTACAATGTTTGAGCAATGGTAGGCTAAGAAACAGTGATTTTAGACTGTTGCTTGATATTTAAACTATGTTTTGAGAATAATTCTCTTTTGCCAGTAATACTGAATTGTTAATCCATACGTTCTGTCCATTTGTCATTTTTCTACACTATTAAATTTCACTTACTCTCACAGTGGCCTTAAGTAAAGGCAACAGATCCACTCTTGAAATAATACAGCTATTATAGTTGAAACTTGCAGGGAAAATTCCCACCTGAATGGATGGAAAACGGGACACAAATCGCCATACATGAGATAATGTCACAAGGAAGATCCATAATCAGCTGCTGCTTAGAATAACTCTTGGCCCCGTCTGGTTTCCTGCTTGCCGAGTAGCAGCAACATAAAACTGTCTGATCCTATGGGAAACATGATAAAAGATTGCAGTAGACGGTAGGCGATGCGTATTTGACTGTGTTTAGTTTTCTGCAGGCAATGAGAGATTATTGTGAAGTGCAGTGTGAACAAAGGAAACGGTATAAATTCCACCTAGCCAGGATATTCAAATATATCATTCATATTTACTCTGCAAGCCTGGTCTCTTTGTGTGTGCGTGTTTATTTGTGTTTTTTAACAGTTGAATGATCGAGCTTCAGACAGCCATCATTGTCGTACAAACACTTGCTAGCATGTCTATAATCTATTATCACAGTTAAAATCTGTGTAAGTTCAAGTTTCTCTGGAAAATATCAGAAGATTACTTCATATTAACTACAACATTTTCCTTTAAAACAATTATTTTTTTACCAGAAAATTGCAATATCATTAAAATACGACAACCACACTGTATCTTTCCATTTATGTGTTTTCTATTAGTCATTCATACTGCGTGTGAGATTTCACATTTAGGTGCGTCCATTTCTTTACCTCTTATCTTGTTCATGATCGTGAGAGACCAGAGCCTGTCCTTGCATGCATCGGGAGAGAAGCAGTCTCTGAGTTTGTCTCACGTAGACAGACACACACATCCTCACTCACTTTCACACCTCTGGGTAATTCAGAGTCTCCCATCCACCTGACGTGCATGTGTTTGGACTGTGATGGGAAACAGAAGCACCCAGAGGAAGTGCGCTCCGTAGAGAGAGGCCAGGTATGATGAAATCTAGAGCCGTGTTTACACCTGCCATTAATGTGCATCTGGATAGTTCGTCAGTTCACATCTGGCGTCAGATTGTGTCTCCACATGCGTCTTGAGTGACCACGTGATCGGATCTCACTTCCCCGCTCTGTGCAAAAAAAGAAAAAGAAAAGACACGTACATCATTTCCGCAGCCCCAAATGGAAATCTGGGACCGAGGCTCCTGTCTACTCCAGCAATGAGAATCTATTTTGCATGTTTTTGTGGCGTCTCTTCGCACTTTTATTTGAGGCAGTTGGTGCGCAAATGAGTACATCGTCCGCACACGGTGTCATTTGAGTGGCCGTTCCTTCAGTGTGGCCGTCACATTAGAGATTTCATGTCTCCTCCTGTCCTGCAGGACAAAAGATGTTATTTCACTTTCCTTGATTTGCTGTTGTTTTGTAAAACCCCGTGTCAGTCTTGTTCTCAACTTCATTTGTTGACTCTGTACCAATCCTTTTAATGGGTGCGAGATAAATCTGCCCCCTCCTGCAAGATCCCAGCGCAGCTCTCTAGCCCGGACCACTTCCGAACATGGTCTGAGCGATTGCATCACAGTGTGTCCTCAGTGCGTCTTGGATGCATTCACACCTGTACTTAGGTCTGGCCACTGGTGACTTGTCTGGGATTTGATTACATAGAGGAGCTGCACATTGCCCAGCACAGACACAACCACTGCTTGTAACCAGGAGGGAATATCAGAGGAGCACAATAATGTTTTCAGCATGTCTTGAGTAACAACCTGAATTAAGTTACACCAGTAGAAAATGTACAAAAGTCAGTGTAACAATAGTAAATATAATAAAAACTAAAAGTTAGTTAAATAGGAAATACAAACAGCCTTTTAACAGCTTACACAGCAGGTGACTGTGAGGAAATATGAGTTGCTTCAAAGCTTCACTCACAGTTAAATGAGAATAAAACTGATCGCTGGTAACAGCCACATAAGTAAGCTACCTGCTTCAGGAGAATCAGGCGAACTTTGCTTTTCTTTCTGTTCGCTAAATATTCTGGTAGGTCCATTCAACTGGCGTTCAACGTCTTGGTGAGAATTGTGCACATAGGATTTATTTTTAATGATGTGCTGCTGCCGTAACATGATAAGATGTTATGTAAGATTTGACAGGCTGTAATAGCTCTGTGTGGCTGCGCACAGCAGACCAGGTGGCCATTTTGAGTTTCAGTGAATCCAGATGCAGGCAGAGATGGTGGGGGAGGGGAGGACTGCGCACTGTGCGCAGTAATGTTGGGACACACACTGACATTACCTACTCAGTATTTACTACCCTCCATACAAAGTGTCTAACATTGGACAACTGTTAACATTTATTGTAGTTTGGTTGATTTGAAATTAGGAGTAACACCCTCCTGTGTGACTGACAGAGACAGCTAAGTGTCAGGGTTCCTGTTACAGCACTGACGGCAGCCTGGAAAAGAAAAGGCATTATTTTATTACCCAGTTATCTAGACTGAGGGTAATAAAACATTTAGCAGCCCTGAAAAAAAAGGAACTAATTGTTTTTTTAAGTCTTTAGTCATAACTTAGTGTGTTTGTACAAGACATGTGCTCTTTACAGGATTTACAGGTGAGCACTACAACACACACAGATCAATCATTGTGAACAATCAAAGTAAGTTTTGTTCAGTTTTCCCACCAGAGCCATATGAGATTTCTGCAGATACAGAGTACTACGTTAGGAGGCGGAGTTTGAGAGTCACGCCTGTGTTCAGCATGCTGCTCGCAGCAGCACTGGTGGCCATTTTGTGTTTCTGCACAGAAAGGGGGGTTGGGCAAAGAACGTACTGCAAGATTTATTTCCCCTCACAACAGGTCTTCTGATGAAGACAGGTGAAGTTTGTAATCAAAAGTTAATTGTAATTACAAGTTACATTTCCTGTCTACTACTTCTTTAATAATACATTTTACTCTGTTTTGAATGCAAATGAGTCAAATCAGGAAATGACCTCAAATTAACAGTTTTTTTTTAAGAATACATTGCTGCAAACTTCAGACAGGGAAGTAATAATGTGTATTTTTCAGTTTATATGTGCGTGTTCTTTGTTCCTCTTGAGTAAACAACCACCCCCGTGTAGGAATGGTTCAGTCCTGTTGAACAGCAGCCCTCCCTGCTGCGGGGGAGGAGGCGGGAGGCGGTGGGCGGGTAGAGGCTGCTTGGTGTAGTCGACGGCCTCCCAAGCTTGCTCTAATTTCTTTTGCTGTGCGCAGCTCATGAAGTGTGAAGGCTAAAAAAAGGAGACTTTTCCTTGGTTTTAAATCTTAAGAATGAGTGACTGAGCACAAAATGACACAAATAATTTTGAAGCCAGTTTTGCCTGTAGATCATCTTTAAATGGTTAATCGCAGTTTATTACAAGTTAATCAGGAGAAGTTGTTGTATCCAATGTCCTGAGAAAGTTGCTCATGTTGGTTTTTTGCGACTTGTTTTGAAGATGAATAAAAATCTCTAAGCTAAAAACAACCAAAAAAAGATTTTCTGTGAAAACCCAAGAAAAAAAAAAATAAATAAAATAAATATATATATATATATATATATATAAATATATAAATAAATAACTAAATAATAATAACATCATGCCCTCATGTAGCAAATATCTAACTGCACTTTGACTGTTCGATTACTTGAATACTTTATCTTCTTTTATCTCTTTTGTTTTGAACTTCCACCCCCACTCCCCCCCACCATCAGAATGGTTTAGTCCATGTTTGACTTGCAGAGGCTGTTCCAGAGAGAGAGAGAACGAGAGTGTGTGTGTGAGTGTGAGAGAGAGTGAGTCTGTGAAATGGAGAGACGTCCTGGTGAGAGTGGGTTTAGCTGCCTCTCAGTTGACTGTGCTGTGCGCTGCTAGCTAGGCCTTGACTAAAGTGCATAATGTGCTTTGTCATGTTAAAATGTATTTTACTTTAGTTATTGTTTGAATATATTTTCCACTATTATGTCTGCTTAAAGGAGGGAATCATAGTTGCTTTAAAACAAGCTCCTCGTCTTTACTTATGAGCCTTTCTCTGGCGTTTTAAGCCATGTGGTCCATTGATAAGTTCAATAATTGATTGATTTATCCGACCCGTAATGGATCGCCCCAGTGAACCTCTCAGAATTGGAAAAAAAATTAGTTTTTTAATTTTCTGTTTGTCCAGTTTGTTCCCATTAAAACTGTCTTTGCTGGCAAATGACGCTGCTTGAGAGAAACCTGCTCTTTGTTTGGTCCAGTTAATTTCATTTTCAGTCACAGTTTATTTATTGTGTTGTTTTCTAAAAGTGGTATTGGAGATAAAACAAGAAGCTAGGACTCCGGGGCGTGAAGTGGGATGTTTTCTGAAGGATAAAGGACAATGTGTGTTTAACCAAGAGAACATTAGAGCAAACAGCAGAACTATCAGGGCCACAGATTTCCCTCCGTTCTTGAACGATTAGCCTTTAGCTCGATCTATAAGAGAGCTGATGTGTGAGCTCATATTACCTCCTGAGTTGGTCCCCTGTACTCCGCAGTGGTTGGCTCATTAGAGGGCTCAGTAGGCTATGGCTAACAGTCGCAGTGCTCAGTTCATGTTTAAATATGTCAAAGACTAGAGGAGGCAGTATACATTCCCCTGTTTATTTACAGCTATGTATGTAATTGTTCCTTTTATTTGACTATAATTAAAACAAACCATCACAGCACCAGAAGCCATCTTAAAACAAACAGCTACAATGAAGCACTGAGTGGTATTTCTGTGCTGCAGAGTTGTCTTTCATCTTTTCTATCACCAAGTTTCCTTTGCCTATGATGTTATTGTAGAAAGGAGAGTCCCCCCCTGCCCTGCTCGAATGGTTTAGTCCGTGCTGCTGTAGATTTCCATACTGTGGACTAGTTTGTGCTAGAGTTGGGGGATGGGTGTTGCTAAGCAACAGTCTGTGCAGTGTACTTCCCCTCTGTCTGTGCGCTGCTAGCTAGGGTTGGTATTGATAATCACCACGCTGTACTTCTAAATGTTGTACGCACAAGATCAGATTTGTGTCTTTGTGGTACCTGCAGACGTATCATACACTTTGACTTCTATTGTTTGTGTTTGATAATGTGCATTATAGCAGAGTGCTGTGTTAGGAGCATTGATCTGACTTCCCTTTTGACAAGATTTAATTAATATCCATTATAGGCTCATGTAGGCCACACACCCTTTATAGCACACACCCCTGCGAGGAACAAGATGGACTAGTCCTAACTGAGTCCCTCCTCCTCCTCCTTTTATGTCCTGCTGGTCTCTCAGACGTTCTCTGCTCCCACAGTCAACAAATAGGCTACATGGAAGGCCTCAATCCCACACATCCTGCTAAAGGTTGACATTTATCTGCTTTTAAAGCATGTTTGACATTTCTGTTTATCATTTAAATCTAACTCACTGTTTGTCATTGCAGCTTTACTCTTCTCAAGCTTAGCTTTTCATACTTGCAGAAGGTGCTATGCTAGTCGAAGACAGTGGAGGTTTTGCTTATTGTTTTATGTATGTTTTATTTTTTTAACCGGAAACATTCATTTTATACATTATGTGTATGTTTGCGTGTTTGTTGTGAATTTTCACTGATGTAGCTTCTCAACAGTTTTGGTAGGGACATTTGGTTACCTGCTACGCTGTGCGCGTTACCCGAGTACGAAAGTTTGTTCCTGGTCGCGCTCTCATCTTTGGGCTGAGTAATGGAAGTTGTGTGTCCATACACCTAAGTGACTGTACATTTATGTATTTGTAAGCACTGCCATCAAATTAGTAGCAATATATTTGCTCTGTATGTGAAGCTCTTGTAAATAACTGGTAGGCGTAAAGCATTTCCATTGTTAACAATAATTAAGGTTTGTCTTTGTATGCCTTTATGCAGCACTGTCTAGCTGCATATCAAACCCACAAGACTGCACGTGCAATCGCTACCACAGTTTTTTTGAATTGGGTGAACGGTGGGTCATGTGGTGTTATGTGCTATATCCAAAGAGGACCGTCACTCTGTGCTGTTGTGGCAGAAAGCTTTGAACACAATTTGGGCATCGTCTGATCATTACTAACACAAACTAACTGTAGAAGTATTATTCTGCAAACAACATATTAGAGCCACAGTGCACCTGCTAAATTAAATGGTGCTGGAACATTATTGTTTTTGGGCCTTCGGCCGCTGACGCACACGGTCATGTGAATATTTTCACTTGACTTGCTTGTTACTGTTTATTTGTTCATGCCGCACATTGGTTCGCTCACAGACAGTACTGTGTGTACAGTAATAGGTTCCAGTGATTAAATGGAGCACAAAGGTACATTTTTGGAAACCTTATGTAGCCAGAGCACAGCGGCGTACAATAAATAAATAAAGATTTGGAATTTGACAGGTCTCCATATTTTAGATTGTGATCCATTTAAAAGGTTTTCATTTGTATCGGCCAGTGAAATAACTTCCATCAGGGATAAATGATACCTCATTAAAGACATGTATCACAGTCTGGATGCTGTTCTTGCTCTGCCAACTTGTACATGGACTCTTCATGTACTGTATCCCAACCAAAAATGACTTTTACTTTGGGGTTGTGATCAACTTTCCCCTTCAAAACAGCCTCGAGTCTTTCACATTTGAACCAGTAATGTGATACTTTTCTCCTGAAAGAGAAGTTTCGATGTTCCTCTAACTGAAAGTATGGCAAGGTTTTGTTGTTTACTTCAGCCCTCCAGCTGCAGGAACTAACTCCCTAGTCACCTTGCTCTTCCAGTTATTTGGAGAGGTGCAAGTTTAGTTTAACAGAGTTAAACTTTGTGACATTGGACCGGCAGCTCAACAACTCGTCACCTGGTGTTGAAACAGTGGAGAGAGAAAGAAGGTGGACAATCTCTTCTTGTCTCCTGTTTTTGATGTTTCCAGTTTAGCATGAACGTACATGTGAAAAATTCCTTCTCAGGCACGGCAACCTAGTTATCAAAACTTTACTGAGAAGACTTTCTAATAATAAACACAATCTGGGAAAGCAATTATTTAAAGATTTTAATAATAAATGATTAAAATGTGCTGAAAGTTGTGTAAGCCCTCTCTTCTGTGCATTGAAATTGGAGCGTGTCGGATTGTTGACTCCAGTTGCAGCAGTCCTGTGGGTGTTTGACAGAAGATACATCATTTCTTTTAAAGACAGAAATAATGGAAGTCGGCCTAATGTTGTGTGTCAGCAGTGTCACAGGAAACAATCGTGACTTGCATGAAGCGACATTATGGGGTTTTAATTGAGACCCATTCACTTGACCCTGAAGACGAGACTCAGTTTGCCTGAGCTAGGAATACAGTGGTGAAATTAATATTGCTTTGTCTCTGTCGATCTTTCTCTTTTAAAAAATAAAGCTGTCGTTGCTTGAGGCGCGAATTAAAAGCCACCCCCAGCCTGTGCGTTCACATCGGACACATGAAATGATTGTTTGATTAGTGGTTGTCAGCTTCAGCAGACTTCTCACTGATGTAGCTGCAGACTGTCCTTTTTTTAAAGATGGACTGGTGAACTTGGTATGAGCTTGAAAACATTTTTTAGAAATAACTCCTATTATTGCCACAGTGTTTAGTGTAATTAGAAAACATGACTTAAACCATAACAGTCTATATTTGAACCCCAGCGCAACAGAAATGAGTGTAGGAGAAGATGGTGGACAAATAGAAAAATACACATTTGGATAATGTTTAACTTTGGCTTATTTAACATTTTTGTTTGATAAAATGACGCTCACATATTCTACAATTTGTGTACATTGCCAACTTGCTGAAGCTTCAGGCTGAACATAAAATCCTTATTAAACAGGGTGGTCCTGCAATCTGATACATGTGTTAGGGAATCCCTTTCAGCTAGCTACTGAGAGCTCAGTCTGGAAGAAAACGACAGAGCTGACGGCCATTTTGAGTTTCTGCACTGAATCCAGGCGCAGTGAATGAGGCCGTAGGATGGGGGAGGGGGACATTGTGCTCTGCGCAGTGTGCAATAACATTGGAATGTGAAGTGTACCAGAGATCGTGCTCGCAGTTTACACCGCTCTTTATTTGTTTATGATGACTCTTCATATTATTCTGCTGTCAAGTTAAATTTAAAGCAATAAAATATCTTTCCATTTGTTTTTGCAGTAAGTTTTTGGTCCCTGCAGGAAGCACACTTGCTGAAAGCAGAGCAGAAATGGCTTACAGTATTGTGCGTATGCAGTGTAAAGTATACACTCAGCCCAGATCACTCTTCTTAGTGAATGTTGCATTTTCCTTTCTGAGGTGAGAGCTTGCTAGGTTGCAGAACACACATGGCTAAGTTGAACGAGGCCTTTTCAGACGGCTCTGTCAGCTGCAGTCTTGCAGGTCAGAAATGCAGTAGAGCTAACCAACTTTACAGTGTAAAACGGAAGCAGCTTATTGATCTCACCAGATAAGGTTTGAAAGATTGCGTGATTAGTAACTGGCTTTCTGTCTTCTGTTCCTACGCTGACAGACAGATTGAACTGCATACATTATGTGTTTTTAAAAACTTTTTGTTATAACTTTGAGGTGGGTTAACACACAGACTCATTTATCAGAAATGCAGTCAACTTGTTAACCGCTGAAAAACGAATCCCTGTGGCTGCAGACTGTTGAGCTCCCATTCATTAAAGTACGGGTTGGTAAAGTGTTTGATGCTTGTTATACTGTTTTATTATCGATGTAATCATGTCGCAGTTGTTAGGTCTAAAATATCTAAAGTAAAAGTCTGATCACATTTTCTTACCAAAATGAAACAGAAACAGAAACTTACATGAAGCATGAAATACAAGTAAAGAAAATCCGTTTATAAAGCTTTAAAGATACAGATATATATGTATTGATATACTTTATTGTCATCAACAAAATTGGACTTCCAGTTTGTGTTCATTCATAGTTATCCCTCAAATAAATATCTCCTTTTGATGCCGAGGGCTCAGTTACAGCTCAAGGGATGCAGATAGACTGCTTAATTCAGAGGAGCTATATTTAGTTTTACACTTTCATTTGCATGGTCTGTGGATTCATACATCGATGATTTTGTCTTCCTAGCTTGAACCTAAGATCATAAAATGTACTAAAAAAAAAAATATTTTCTTTCTTTCAGGTTGTCGAAGAATTCTGTGGTAAATCCATGAGCAGGAATCTTTCTGCTTGAAGGTGAGTTATTCATAGATCATTTATTTAGTGTATGGACTGCATGTTACCTAATAGCATAGCACATTTCTTGTTTGCTACTGAATGTAAAATGAGCAGCACACAGCTTTAATGCAGCTTCCATAAACAGGAGTTTAAATCAAGACATTCACATAAAATGAATATACATGACATTATACAAATAAAATAGAACAACTAGCCTGAACACACATGTGTGCAACAATCAGAACTATATACGGACAATCCTTCATGTTTTGCATAGCTTCTTTACTGCTGCCAACACAGCCTCGATTTGCCTGTTCTGATTTGCTGAGGTTGAACCAATAGGAACGTGGGGGGGATGGGAGGAAGGTTGGGTTGCTGCTGTTGTTAACTTCAGTGTCATTTCTGTTCTTTGGATCGGGGCTTAGGTAAACATGAAATCCATAGGCAAATCAGAAAATGAAGGAAAAAGGGAATTTGTAAGAAGTTATGGCTTTTGTGACTGACATGAATAGGGCTGGCTTACTGAGCTGCACCTTGACTGTTGTCACTTTAGGATGGATACAGAAATGTGTAATCAGGTAGTAAGGGTCTGCATGATGTAGCTTGGATACTAAGTCAAATTTGCAGTAAAGAAACAGATAGTTGAGGAACCATTTTAGTGTGCAGATCTCTGTGAAAGAAGAAGCTTCCAGAAAAGAACAAACAAGAAAGCTGTGGGGCTCCACAGTGACCTCTAGTGGTTTCTCTGAAACTCTGCAGCCATTTCTTTACTATGCAGTGCGTTAAGCCCAGGACAGGTTCATAAGCGGAAGTGACTGTGACTGTGTACTCTAGCAGCTATCACTGTGTTTATTTAGATCTTTCCTAGATTGATCATGCCCTTCTGATATCATCTAATCTTTCCTTGTCCCTCCACAGACAGCAATGGAAGTTGTTGTGACAGAGGAGAAGAAGAAGATTTTCCGTGCTAGGAAAACCATGAAGATCAGTGATCGACAGCAACTGGAGAGTCTTCACAGCACTTTGTTGACAGCTGCTCCAGGTTTGTCTGACACATCTCCACCACCTCTAATGAATGGCACGCACAAAGAGGATGGACAGAAAATGGGGGACAAAGAGCTTAACAACATCTCGGACTCAAACTCCCCCTGTGCTGCGTCCCCTTCCTCTCCGACCTCTCTGAGCTCTCCTGCTCCTTTCCTGTCCCTAAATCTATCCCCTTCCCCTGACTCTTCACAAAGCCCAAAAGAAAAGGAAGACTCTCCTTCTTCTCCCACATCACCATTCCACAGTCTAAACTTTGAACTGAAAAAGATGGAGGAAGGGGAAAAGAAAGGTTCTTCACCGTCCTCATCAAATGAGTGTGTTACACCAGCGTCAACAGAATCCAAGGAAAACCAAGAAAAAGACACAGGGGGGAACCCAGAGATGGAAAAGAAAGAGGTAAATGTTGTTCTTATACATTTCACAATGTAGAATTACTTACCTGGATTTATATTGGATTTGTTCAGATGTTGATGGTTAATGTAGAAATGTGGATAAACTCCATAAAAAGTTACAATTAATTAATCGTTAATTATGCTCTTCCTTAGGCTGAACAGACTTCAACAAAGGACCCAGCTGTGGATTTGGTGAAGGATTTAAAAGGTTTGGGTTCATGTTCGTCTGTGCCACGGCCAGTATCTGACTGCACAGAACCAATGGAAACAGATAATGACACTATAAAGGACCCCGAGGGCTCCACAGCCAAAGAAAAAGACGAAAAGCCTTCTTCCCCCAAAGCCACCACTTCCGATTCCTCTGCTCGTTGTCCTTCCTCGTCTCGTCCAGCTTCCTCTTCTTGTGCAGATCTAAAACACGAAAAGGAAATAAAAGAAGAGATTGAAAAAGAGGATGGGAAGAAGGGATCGATAAATGAGACAAAGATGGAGTTGGACTCCGTGAAAGTAGAGACCAAAAAGGAAAAAACTGAAGTTAGACAAACCACAAAGCCATCTCGGCCATCATCCACTCCACCATCTAACACAGGTATGACATAGTGGACGCTGTGTCAGATAGCTTCAAGATAACTGAAATAATAATATTAGATGATATTATTATTATTATTATTATTATTATTATTATTAGATATATTAAATATTTTATACATGCAGAGCTCTACGTTCCTGTGCTCTAGTTAAACCAATTGAACCCAAAATAGAAGGCTATGAAAATAGTGGGGTTCTGGGTTGTAGGCTGTATTACTTGTTAATAAGATATATTTTAAATTAGTAGATTTAGCGTTGCAAGTTGGACTATTTGTGAGAGACGGAATAAAAAACATTGGTAGTCACTGCATGAGTCAGGCTCCAAAAACACAGGAACCTACACTTCCCATAACGCAACTCAGTAACATCTGTTGTTAAACCCTCCCTGCCTTGTCCTTTTGACTCCACGCCAACAGTTTGTCAAAAAGGATTTCTGTCAAAAACACGTCCCCAAGCTGAGTTACCCAGATGATGTCACTGGAGTAACTTTGTCAGACTTGCCAAACCTCTTCCAGAGTCCAAGAAGATATTATACAGTTGTTTTCGCAGACTCTGAGGTCCTCTCTGTGACTTTACATGTAAAACCTGTATTTTGTCATTTCAATTAATCAAATTGTAAGAATAATAAAAATGTTGTATTAAATGCCACGTATTATGCAGTGCAAGAAAATGAGGTTGACATAAAAGCTTACACTTTGAAGCCAGAAATTTGATCTTCAGAAAATGATCTCTGATGATGTTGCTAGTAAAAGGAGCTAAATATAAAAGTTTTTTTAATACCGGCCAGACAATCCAAAGATACAAGAACTTATAAGGCTAAAGTTAAGTTTTGATCGATGTGTAAGCAATGGCAAATTGCTCAGTTTAGACCTAATTTGACTTGGATCAGTAGAGATCATGTGCAGTTATGCTAACTGGTTTTCCAAGACAAAAGTGAAATGATGCAAAAATATAGTAAGACAAAAACTAAACATGGCTGAAACTGACCTAAAACAGAAACACACAAAAGATTTAGGGCAATGAATGGCACACGTAGGGCACTAACCGGCCTTTCTCTTTGTTTCCCAAGTAGTGCAAGAGGAGAAGGGCTCCACCTCTGGACTGAAGCGCACTTTATCAGAGGGTTACGAAAAAGATGGACAAACCGTAAAAAGAGAGGGGAAGAGGCCCAAGGTGGAACGTGAGGAGTTGGAGGCTCAACTGGAATTTAAAATTACTGCAAAAGCTGGCAGTCACCATAAACTTGGAAAGGTTTGTATGCAACTATTCTGCTGCACAGCTTTTAACACTACTTACAGTGTAAGCCAACTGAACTCTGCTTTGATGCCCCGTCTTTACCTGATTTTCTTTCTCAGATTGTGCAACAGCTAGTGGATGAACGGTTGAGAGCCTTGCAGCTGACCATTTTTGACAAACATTTCGAAGAGCTGAAAGACAGAGTAGACAAGATTGACTGTGCCACTAAACACCAAACTGCCATCAACACACTCCAAGTAAGTAGACAGTAACATTATAATGTGAAGCACTTCTTTTTATTGTAACAAAAACATGTGCAGTGCTGTAAGATGCTATTTTGCTGATTGTGGTTGGAGCTGCTAAAATTAATTCCCCACAATTAGCAATGCACAAATCTGTCTCTCTACCATTTGTTTAGGCTAAGATAGCCCGACTAGCAAAAAAGTTTGGAGAGGCCAATCAGGCGTCAGAGAACAAAAGGAAACAAGAAGTAAGCATTTGTTTTCCTTTTGTTGCATGCTAAAATCTTTAAACCTGGAACATAATCAAATATATAAATAAAATGTTCTGACAGCACGCTGTCTGATTTCTACAGGCGCTTGTTGCTGCTGCTGCTGCTGCTGCTGCTGCTACTGCTGCTGCTACCAAGACCACAACTCTTGCAAACAACCAAGTTCAACGGTAAGTGTTTCCATGCCCGGAGCAATTTCTCTGAGATAGGGATTTACATGAGAAATACTATGCCATACTTGTATATGTTGTGAATTTAGCAATCAGGTTCTCAGGGTTCTTTGGAAGTGATTTTGAGCACTTCTGTGCAAGCTCACCTGTTTGCCAGACCATTTCATCATGTGACAAAATATTTTTGATTCATCAAAATTCACAGCATAAATGTATTTAAACATGTTAGCAGTCTGCACTTGGGTATTTTGTGTGAATATAATTTGGCCTTTGTATGAACGTGACAATACCGGACTGAAGCCAGTACTACACACGAAGCCGTTCACAGCGTGAATAGTTGACATTGTCCCGGGTTGCCATCTGTAATCTCTAGAGACTGAATTTAAAACTAATGGACAGAATAAAGAATCCCTACATCCTCCAAATCCATACCTTTTTGGAAACCACGATTCCATGTCCCTTGTTCGGTTTGTCAGGATCAACTTTTTTAAACTCTTAACTTCACTCCAGATATTTCTTAAGACTTGTTCGGAATAAACAAACACATGTGCCAGTCTTGTGTTTTGCACCTGCAAAATAACCCAGAGTGGGTCCTGGTCCTGAGTCTTGTGACGTTCTACAATGTGAAGCCTGAGTGTTTCCTCAGGCAGTGCAGAGTGTAGTTAAAACTGCACCTCTCCTCCCAACAGCGTGCTGCGTCGGCAGACAGTAGAGCCGCAGCCTGAGGTGCCCAGAGAGGGAGTGGCGCCCTCTGTTGCTAAGACTCCTGCATTGTCTGACAAGAAGGAGAAGGAACAAGAGGAAATGGAGGAGGGAGAGGACAAAGATGTGGCGCGTCATATTGCCATGGCAAAAAAGCTGGCAGAATACAGTGAAGGAAAATGCAGAGCAGACATTAAACTCCGCACAATCACTTCCCACTTGGAGAACGTGCTGTTCCACAACTGCAAAAGAAGCTCAGGGAAACCCAGGCCGGACCGCTACGCATCTTACATATTCCGCTACTTAGTCCCATATGATGTCTACTGTGACTGGGTCGCAAAGGTCAATTATGTTGGATTATTGGGCAAAGAGGCACTGCCCACGAACTTAAGAAGGACAATGCACATGTACATTGAGCGTCGATTCCCTGTACTGTCTTCTGACAGCTGGAGAGAGATTCGTGACAGTATCAATGAAATACTGCGAGTGAAGAGAAGACCGGAATTTTTTCGAGAATATGATGAAAAAACCGCCGTGTCATTTTGACAGTCTTACGTTACAGGAACAGAAGCATACTGGGACAATTGTCATTATGCATCACTAAAATTATCAAAACATTTTGTCTAAATATCACATTCTCGTCAGCGTTCATAGAAATTAATTGCATATTGAAAAGGACTGAAACCCTGGGGTCTTGTACATAAGACGCTGTGGAATTGGCACCACACTTGAAACCATTGAACTATACTTACATACTGATTAATGCTTTAATGAAAACACTGACATGTACTTAAGTTATGAGGTGGACTCTTACCACAAGTTGTTCCAAGATGACTGTATGAAATGAAATAAAATGAAATGTTAGTACCATAACACATTCAGCTGTCTTCCTGTGGTGGACATAAACATCCCTAAGCGTGAACAGCTCTAAGCATAAGCAATCTTTCTAAACAGGCCAGTCCGGACATCCATGGAGGTAAAGCAGACGTCGTCGTCCAGCTCAACTGGTGAGTAGCAGGATTTCCTTTATGCTGGATGTTGTGTTGGTCTTTTTCTTTCGATAGAATAAGCAGAGGGACAATGGTTCACAGTGTTCCCTCCAAAGCTTTGAGTCTTGGTCCTGTTTCTCTCATGGGGAGTTTGCATGTTTTCCACGTGTTCATGTAGTTATGTCCATTCGTTACACAATGCGAAAGAAATGTAAAATGACCAAAACCAACAATGAATTGATCTTACTAAGTAAAGCCTGTGCAGCCAAGCATGGAGGGACATGTTCCTTTATTACTAATTACTAATTTAATCTATTTAAAATCCTGAATCTGTGGATGAAAATAGTCCCCATCATGTTTATGCTTGTCTGAGTAATGTTGACAGTACCCAGCTGACATAGGAAATGATTTGGCCTTTTTTAAAGATCCAGTGTGTAACATTCAGGAGGA